GGTGGGGCTTGACCTGGGGCTGCAACGCCAGCCACCAGCTCTGGACATCAGGGGGCAGACCCACGTTCTCTCGCCTCCGACAGGGGAAAGGTCGCCCTCCAAGCAGCTGCCAAACCCATAGGCAGCACCGGCCTCGCCCACACAGCGGCAGCAGCACAGGTCTAGCCACTGAGCCCCTCCTGGCCTGGGCGCTGTAGGCCAGCGTGTCCGGGCGCCAGCTGCACCCGTGGGTGCCCCCACGTAGGGCAGAGTGGCCACGCTGTGGTGGGAGTCTGGGAAGAGCAGTGACGCGATGAGCACCAGCAGGAAGGCCCTGGAGAGGAGCCACACCCGCCGCAGGGTGCGCTTCCCGGCGCGAAGCCCTGGGAGGCTGGACCACCGGCCCAGTGGGCAGCCGGTGTCGGGTGTCACCATGGCCACTCCTCTCCCAGCCCATTGGCGGCCTAGCCACAGCTAGCCTGCCTGTTCCGACCCTGGGTGCAAAAGGCATCCAGGCATTGCTGCAGAGGGGACAGCTGCAGGAGTCTCGGCCAGCCCTCTCTCAAGGTCAGGAGAAAGCACCTGGGTGGGCAGGAGCGGCTCCCCACTTGGGCCTCTGCTCATGGCTTCATTGGGCCTCTCCATCACTGCCGGGCCACCCACGCTGTGCCTCTCCCCTTGCTCTAAGGGTAGGCCAGTACATTCCAGCCTTCTAGGCCATTGGGGTGGCCGGCTGCCAGCAGGTTGAGATGGTCCAGACTGGAGTAGTCCAGGGTCCTGGTGGTTCATGAGCAGAGGTGGGGGCGGCCCTCCTCTCCTGCAGCAGGGGAGCCCTTGACCCCAGTCGCAACATTGAACACATGGGCTCCAAGCAGCCTCGCTTCCATGAAGAGTGGCCCAACCCCTCCGCCAGGGGAGAGGAACCAGGCTCCAACCCTGAGAGAAGAAACCAGGACGCCCTGTGGGTGTCATAAAACTCTGCTGTGGAGACCAAGATACTCCTGACCTTAGGTTCTGCCCTTCCGCTTCCCATCGAGGCGCAGGTCCCTCTGGCCATCGTCACAGCCCCACCTGCAGCTTCATAAGGGGCTGCAGGGCTGCTACCGCTGTGCAGTCATCCCGGCCCGGCACAACAGGGTGCTGCTTCGAACGCAGTCTGGGTCAGCAGAGCATGTGCCAAGGTCCCTGCCCTGGCCCAGGCCTCCTTCCTGGTGCTGCCCTGCCCATCCCCACCCCAGAGGCCAGGGTCCTTCGGTCTTGCTGTTAGCTCCTCAAACAGCAATCCCTTGAGAAGTGCCCCTCACTTTCAGGCGCCTGACTGCTTCACTAGGACCTGCAGGCCATGTCCCTGCTCCTGCCACAGCCTCCGCCACTGCAGAAAGTCAGGGCCACCGCCCCACCCAATTGGTTCTTCAGTTTGTATTTAAATTTTTATTTATTCATCTTTACTCTTGAGAGTATTACAGATATCCCCGGCTTTCCCTCCCCACCCCCCCATCCCCTATTGCACTCCTCAACCCAGATCCCGCCCCGCTGCAGGCCTTCACCATCCTATTGTCTGTGTCCGTGTGTAATGCACATATGCATATAAATTCTTTGGTTGATCTCTTCCCACCCCCTCTCCTCCCTTCCCTCTGAGGTTAGTCTGTTCCATGTTTCCATGCCTCTAGTTCTATTTTATTCATCAGTTTATTTTGGTTTTGTTTTAGTTTTTTATATATAAATCTTATTGTTGAAAGTATTACATATGTACATATGTCCTTTTTTTCTCTATTGACCCCTTCTAGCCCACCCCTGCCCCCCCA